CTGTCTTCTCAGATTTTTTTTTAATTTTATATTTTTTGCTTTTTTAGATAGAGTTTTACGAATTAAATTCTTGTCAAATTGCATTTTACAGAGCCTGTAGATCATAACAAAGGTGATCGAACCTTTCAGAGGCTGGGAGTAATGTAGCTTTATCTTGTTAGTTGACATTTTACTGTTTTCTGTTAATCGCTTTGTGATTGCTTTATCTATGAAAGGCACTTAATAATTAGACATTACTGACCGACTTATGATTAACAACACAATTGTCTCAAACAGGCATTCAAAAAAACCTGTTGTTCAATTTCTTTCTTTCTTCATCTCTGTTTTAGGGCCGAGACTTTAACACTGTCAGGAATCCAGTTTGTGTGGTCTGTTTTTGTGTTTCCTTTCCTCCTCCATCAGGTGGTGCCCCGTCCTCATTGGGTCTCCCTGCACACCTGCAGCTCATTGCCTCATTACCTGTGGAATGCTCTTAAGCTGCTGACTGCCACTCATCGCCAGAGTGTTTGCCAATACTGGGCACTCTAGCCATGCTTAGTTTAGCAGAGTCTATCCTAAGTCTTTGTTTTGCCAATACTGGGCACTCTAGCCATGCTTAGTTTAGCAGAGTCTAACCTGAGTTTTTGTTCGCCAGTTTTGGATTCTCTAGCCAAGCTGAGTTTTGCTGAGTCAACCTGAGTTTTTGTCAACCTGAGTCTTAACTTTGTTTTTGTCTTTGCCTCTTGGCAGGAAGTCATCCTACAAACTGGATTTTTTTGGACCTTCTCTCTCTGGAAGGTTCAACTGAACTGGGGTTCCAAACAGGAAGTTTGGATCCATTTTCCCCAAGAGATCGTTTGAGTTTCACACAGAGCAAAGCTTTCATCTGCACAGCAGCCCGTTCAAGTACTGCAGGAAATCTCCATTCACCAAGGAACAACTGCAGTCTGAGTAACCCAGTCCGCCCTAGGGGTGGGTATTGCCAAAGAAGTCGCGATTCGATTCGAATCACGATTCACATGCCACGATGCGATTCTATCACGATGCATCACGATACTTGAATTATTGCGATGCATTGCAATATTTTCACTGAACACTGTTATAAAAAAATACAGCCATTACCAGTGGCTGACTGGCTGAGTATGATTTGGATAGTGTCTTCAATTGATAAATAACTGAAAGCAACTGAATTCATACATAGCTGTATTTATTGAAATGAATTTTGGAGGATTTGCCATGAAAACAAATATTACTGTAACTGGACACAAATATTACTACTGCTGGAGTGGACACATTGACAAAAAGTGCTTAGGATTTATAAAACTAAAAATAACAAAATAAGGATTACAAGGCAGCAGGCGTCAACACATCCGCAGCGACATCTACTGGACTGGAAGTTGTATTACACTTGTTTTTGGCTGATGTTTGCCAACCATTCATGCTATTTTATTTATTCTTTTTTTTTAATTAAAAATCGATACTTGGCGTCAAGAATCGATGCAGTAGATCACGAAAATTAGAATCACGATGCATCATCATGACGATTATTTTGCACACCCCTAGTCCGCCCATCACCAAACAAGACAATCTCTGGTACATTCCTCACAGACTGGGTTCCATAAAGGACACCTTTTCCTGAAGAAGTGAGTCTGCAACCTTTTCCTCCAATTCAAAACCAAAGATTCAAATTTCCCACTGAGCCTGAACTAACCGCAGTGTCTTCCCCTCACCTTTTAGTCCCGGTTGAGCAGTGTTCTGAGCTGCACTGGACTCATCTTGTATTCTTAATAAACCTGTTAAACTTTTCCCTGGTCTCTCTGTTTGGTCCTCTGCATTTTTGGGTCAGACCTTAAATTAAATCAAGGGAAAATGATTAATTTTGATTAATAAATACATTCATTTTAACGTATTAACAAAAGGAAAGCAATTCACTGCCTTCCAAAAATAAAAACAAAAACAAAGAAAAACACATACTAAAAACCTAAGCGGGAACTTATGTGTTCTTCATTTTATGCACACCCATGAATCTGATGCATAAGCAGCATCACACATTTTGGTCCACTGGTGGTTTGCCCCACTAATGTCAGCGTCCACAGCTGTGACACAGGTTCTCTGGCCAGTAAACATCAAGATCAATGGAATGAACTGTGCTAAAATGAATGCTCATCTAAGCTACAGCTCACGCTTCTAATAGAAGTTGTTTTTTTCAAAGAAATTACATAAAACCTTTAGAGTTGGTTTAAAAAAAAAGGCAAAATTATTTAAACTTTCAACCAGTCTAATAGTTTGATAACCTAAACCAGGTGTCTTCAATGCCTTCCAGGCCAAGGACCCCCAAACTGATGGCGAGATGGAGCAGGGACCCCCTAATTACATGTATTGTATGAAATTGTGTTTTATCAAACTGGTCCTATAGTCACTCTTTTACAGAGTCATGTAACCAGAGTAATTTCCCCCTGGGATTATTAAAGTATTTCTAATTTGATGGGATGGTTGTTGTGAATGAAATGGTGTCCAGCTTGAAAGAGCTCCTGTGTGTCGCTGAATGTGTGCATTGATGACTAAAAAACATCTTCTGCCTCCATTTATCTGTTTACTACAGTGTGTTGAATTCATGTTAATGTGTATTCAAAAACTTTTCAATTAGTGGAATAAATTGCAGGGGGGAATAATAAAAAAAAAGTCTAATAAACCAAAAACTTTCGGAACCCCCATGCAATACCTCTGTGGACCCCTAGGGGTCGCGAACCCCCTGTTGAAAACCTCCGACCTAAACAATGGATTAAAAGCAATATTTGTTATTGTGCACATATTTTTTAATAGTTTAGCGACAAAAAATAAATTTATTTCATCAATATATGTTTAAATGACAATCTGATTAATTTAAATTAATTACAGACACTGTACTTCGTTTGATCGAGTCCCACCACTACTTTATATGTGAACTAATAAGTTTCAATCCTTTAGTGGACACTTAAATCTGGGTTTTTATTATATGTCAACAAAAATATCTAATTAACGTTAAAAACAACTCAGTTCATGTGTATTTTACACACAGATATTATGGCTTTGTGCATTATTTTGAATTCTGAGATGTTATACAGTATAACCCAGCCACCCTTGGAACAGAATGCTTTCAATACATCCTCATATTATTAATGCATAATAACCATTCGTGTAAATGGAGAATGAGGTGGAGATGCTGCTTATGGTAATATACAGCCCATGCTGGGAAGGCCTGGATGTTTTTGATATGAATGATTGATGCTGAAGATGGAGCATGTGGAGCTGCTTAAGGTTGCAGAGAGCAAACGCTTCCCCAACCTCAAGGTGAATCCTGCTCCTGTAGCTTCATCTTGAGGTCATTAAAACAAACACTGGCAAAAAAAAATAAAATAATGATGCAAGGAATAAAATGAAGTAAATGAAACCAGAGAAAATAGCAGTGACTTCAGCTAGCAGATCTATACAGGATCCATGGATGGCATAAAGAAAGAGTCACAGGTATAAAATGCTAACTGAAGTGAACATGATGTAAACAGATGATGAACACAGAGACTCTTAGATTTGTATAGGTTTGTTCTCTTTATTAGTATTCTTGTCTGTTTTAATTAGTTTTATTTCTTTTGTTTGCTATTTATTTTCTGTAGCCATTATCTCTGGAGCTGTTGGGATTATCCTCAGTTTTTATATATATATTTTTTTACTATTTTTCAAGGCTGCACTTTTTAAAAAAGATGAAATTGTTCAGAAAGCTGTTCCAAACGAAATGTATTTTTGTTTTACGCTTGTGTAAACAAAATGACAAATCTGTCTAAGTCTAAGTAAATTCCTGCATGTTTTTATCCCATTTACCCATCAAATTGCAAAAATTGTAATTACAAAATAAATGCACTAAATGGAAACACTGCAATAAAAAACGCTTCGCTTTGATGAGGTGGTTTTACTGTTTTATGGTCTTACGAAATCATGTTTCGCAATTTTGCAATGGAAACCCTTTTATCATCACATGCATCACATGACATGCAGCTGGAGCATTCAGCCTTGTGAAAGATGTAGAGTAGTAAAGTAAAGTTGTTGTTTTTTTTAAAGTGTCCTGTCTGGCTATGTGGCAATAAGAATAATTGTCTTGATGCCAAAAAGAGCCCAAAAGATTTTACTTTCACAAGTGGAGCAGTACGGCTACCACCATAGTGTTCCGCTTGATTTATGCATATAAGTAGCTTTATTATAATTCATGCAGGGAGTTTTACAGATTATACGGACACTGCAATGGGAAATTAGAACAGGAAAGGAAAAACTGAAAAAAAAAGGGAGAAAAGATGAAAGAAAGAGGAGATAAAAGCCCTAAGTAGTTTAAGGATGAAGGCGCTGCATGTTTGGATTCATGAGAAGACCGAGTAAAAGCTTTAGTCATTAGCTAAATCTTTGTAGCTTTTCTATGTAGTTCTTTTCTTTAAGGCTGTAACCCAAATTTGGCCAGCATCATTTTTGTTTTGCATGTCCACCGCACAATGACGTATTTTAAGGTGAAGGACTCATTACAGGGCTTCAGAGCTTCTTTCCAACACTGGATAGTCTTCTTACTGACGGCTTTGTTAAAGGTGGAGAATTAGGAACTATGAGCTACAATTCCAAGTATTTGGATTAATCCATTGTTGTTCAGCCAATTTCAGAGGAGCTAAAAAGATGCACTGCTCAGATGGGAGAACCTCTCCACAAAAAACTCCCTTAAAAGCTTCAGTCCCTCAGTAAGCCATAGCATGATCTATCCTGCATTGGAGATGCTTTGATTTAGACAAGATTAATGGTGCTAAATACCAGGGAGTCTTCAAAATCCTATTGCATGACAAAGCTAACATACACCAAGAGCTACAATAGTTTGGTTTGTATTGAGAGCTAAATTGTATCAAGAAGATTTGGTTTAAGAGAGCAAACAGCGAATGTTTCATTGACTGACTAAAAGGCGACTAAAAGAGACACAGTCATGACGAAACGAAACCACAGAAGGAAGGTTTAAATCACCTTATGATGAAATCACTGGAGTCGATCAGGCCCCCATAATGAGAGCCCTTCAGGTTCCCAGAGTTCCCCACCACTGCACAGGTCCTGCAGCGCACGGGACTGGGGTCCGTGTAAAGGACCTCATCTGGGATGACTTGGAACAGCTCCTCCACCACCTCTGTGAGGTTAGCCGGCTGCCTCTCTGACTGCAACCACTGGTGATGGAGAAAAAAGGAACAGTTCAGTAATGGCTGAATATATTCCTAGAATAAGTTAGCTACTGTGTAAGGCTAAGACCAGCGGAGTAATATGTACCCTGCACCTATCTTACATAATGAAGGGGGTTTGCGGCCTAGTGGTTAGGGCATAGAGCTTGGAATCCTGGTGATCCTTAAGAAACGGGTGCACTACAGTTTGTCCGGGTGGAATTGCCATATATTGAAGTCATAAGAAGGGGCAGGTCTCCGAGCCGATCTGGTACCTACACCGGCAAGGCTGAGATTGGAATAAATACTAGCTGTCCTCAAAAAACAACATGATCTCATCAATTTGTCGCTGTTCCAGTTATAGGGTGAGAGAGAAGGTGAGTGTGATGGGATCCTCCCTATGTTCGAGCCAACGGCCACGATCAACAAACCTCCTAGCAGACATGACGCTGAATCTGCTGCGACTGCGATCTTTTTATGCAGGCCAGGCGCCTCCGGGGGCATTGCTGTCCCACTCAGGACAATGGCTTGTGACATTTAATGGGCATTATGCCGCCGTTCTATATGAATAAATTAGGCTGTTGTTGGACATAAGTTCAGGACTCGTTATGAATACTCTATGGTTACGCCCAAAATTGAAAAAATTAATAGCATGTTCAGCGTATATAAGCATTTTAGAAGATTCTGGGATGTTAGGCATACGCTGGCTAAATCATTTTCTTTGGTCAATGTTTGATCCATAGCAAGTGTTTGCTAGGGGCTTGAAATAAAGAGAATGTCGTGCAAAAATACAATTAGAAAAAAAGTCACTCAAAAATTTAATCTGAAAAGACTAACTTGACTAAATGAAACTTGAAAGTATATATAAAAAATAGGACTTAATATGAAAATATAATTTGAAAGAATTACAATTTCAGACATATTTGCCTGAAGTTTTTCTAAGCTTCATGTCTGGATTGGATTTTTTTTTTTATTTCCATTCATATAATGTGATATTTGCTTGTAACATAATGGAATAAAATTCACTCCATATCAGTGTGCTTGGTAGCTTTATCCTAGATCAGATTTGTAGGATTTCAAAACAATCAATGTGACCAAAAACAAACAGACTCTTCAAAGCAGTACATGAGCTTTAAATCTGCACTTTTTTCTTTTAATCAGAGAAAATAAAAACAGTAAAACTTCTAACAAAATACTTAAAAGGTCATACCTGCCACCACTTAAAGGTCTCCTCGGAGAGGACGCTGTTCTCTCTGGTCATCAGAGGGTGAATGGACAGGTTGAATCGCTCTGCAAACCACGGGTCTCCTTCCAGAGCTGCGATGCACCGTTGACAGGAGCAGGGCCCTTTGGAGAAGAAGATATCCGAAAGCCGGAACGCGAACCGGAAAAAGCAGAGTGAGGGGTCCCTTAAGGTGTAGCTGAACAGGAGCGTTGTGAAGGTGATGACGCAAAGGAGGAGAGCAAAAGTCCTGAATTTTCTCCGTTTGGCTAGAGTCATGTTGTCGCCTTCAGAGTCACTTGGAGGAAAACTCTGGGAGCCCAAAAGAGACACGTGGCATCTTGGTGTGTTTAGAGCTCAGAATATTCCTATCATACGGTTTATCTAGGATATCCCAGCATCCTTACTTTGCAGAAGTGAAGCTTTAATTCCTAAATGTCAGTTGAAGCCTCCCATGTTTTCTTCTAAAGAGATGCTTTAGTCGAAGAGTAGTAGGTTTGCATCTGTGTTGAAACTCGTTCAGGAGTTAGTTGACTCTGCTGGGTGAGGTGCTCTTCTGTTATCAGCCTGAAACCAAAACAAAGAGAAAATGTTAACCTTTACAGAAAAATAAAACAATATTTGAAGCTTTAAACTGGAAATTCAGAATTTCTAAAGCAATGTTCTGTGAAACTATGGAGTGAACTTTGTTCCATTATTGTGGCAAGCAAATAACACATTTGGTAAAAGGTTTTGAAAGTAACTTTCCTGTTTTCTCAGATTAATATTTTTTTTTCCAAATTAAATTTTGATATTTAATTTATTCAAATTTTGTTTCAGAAGTTGTTTTAATTTTTTTTTGTTTTAATTCTGTTTTTTAGATTCATAAATTGCATTCTTTTAAAATTACGTTTTACAGATCATACTCTTTTCACATCTTGGGCCGGCCTTCCCCTGGAGTGCAGATGCATTTCTACTGGTCTGGAAGAATGTTAGCAAAAACATGTTTATGGGTGAAGACTGAGCATTGAAGTGAAGAGAAGTTGATCAGTGAAAATGAACTTTACAAAATCACGTTGAAAATCTGTGGGGGGAAAAAAAGAATGAAATTTATAACTGCAAAATCTGCAAATAAAATGGAAAAATAAACAGATTGAAGAAAACAGCAAAGGTACACTCAAAACTTTTTTTGTTTAAAATATTTTTCAAAATAAATGTTTAGACTTCATTTTTTCTAATTTTAATTTAGAAGATTTTTTTTTTCAACTTTCCTTTTATAAAACATTTTCTTTCAACAATAACAGAACAAAATTCACTCCATATAAATTATTCTGGACAAGAAATGCTCAAAAAAATCTCTGCTTATTTGGAGTTTAATAAAAACAAAAACACAAGAAGCTGGAGGGAAGCTACCACTTCAAGAAACTATATCATGTATAAACCATTTTTTAATTTTGTTTTAGTGGTATACTGTCATTCCTGTATAAAAATTATGCATTGCAGTTCCTCTCGTCATTATTTGCATCCATGAAGTTTAGGTACATTTATGGAATATCTACTGAAGGTTATAAAATAAAACATTTTACTACAGATAGCTTGTGTTTGTTACAAAACAGCAAGTGTTAAGAACATTTCAAAAAATAAACATTATAAGGAAAACCTAACATTTACCGTATAATGGGACCCTTTGCTGCAAATTAATATGGAAAACCAATTTGGCTCACCTGGAGCTAATCATAAAAAAAGATGAACTTCCTCCACACATGTGACATAGTTATCCAATGAACGATCATTTCGGTGTTTTCATTCCCTCTTCATGTGTGGCTATGGTAAAGGCAAAGGATCTGTCTGAGGACACCACTGATCTCTATTTATTCACTGGATTGGTGATTGCCCGAAAAAAGTGAAGCCACCGTCCACCATGTTGGTACTCCCCACTCTCAAGAAGACACACACTAAAAATGCCTACATGTGGAAAATATGGCTGACAAAAACAAGTAGTTTGCCGTCTGTGGGAAGACGTTCCACGGTAATTTCACAGTCAGTGGATGTTCTAGCCAAGAAAATCCACATATACGCCGAGGTATCCTATAGTCTATTATGTAGCGTAATGTTATTCCGGCAGTCAGACTGACTCAAAGATAAATTAGCCGTTGACATTGTGTCTAAAGTAAGAAAATAGAAAGAGTAAATGGAGAAAAATTCACTGTGAAATGTCAATATCGTAATTTATTATCAAGCGGATGACGCTGTTATTTTTGTAGTGTTTTATGTTTTTCTCATTTAAAAAAGTCATGTGCTGAAATATATTGCATGTTATTTTGACGAAAAAATCTCAATCATTTAACATCTATATATCTTTGTAAATATAAATAAATAAATGTACAATGAACAATACATCTGTATTGTTATGCTCCGTTAACACATTAATTTTCTTGTGATGGATTTGGATATCTTGTTTTACATGATTCATAGAATTCATTGACTTCATAATGACTATGCAATGTAATGTACCGATTTTTTTATTATAACTTAAAGTAATCTACTTGTGCTATGAAACAGCCAGTCTGTGCCAAAGTGATGAATTCATCTTTATTTTAAAAATCTTAAGTCCCCCTGAAAATGGGAACATTATTTTTGTTCGATGCCGTAGCTCACATACTGTTTACATTGCGACCGGTCTAACAAGGGAGTACCAATATGGCAGCCGGTTGCTTCACTTCAACCCCGTACTACCAACCGGCAATCAGCAATCCACTGATTAAACTGAGATCAGCGTAGGACACCAGAAATGCTATTATGTGCAAGCACAAGAGCTCCAAAGGTAATAAAGTAATCTCAAAAGACTTTTGTATCCAGGTCCCCACATATTCAGAAGGAAAAATATACTAATATGAAATCTTAATTCAGGACTAAAGAAAAACACTTTGAGCAGTTTATTCTGACACTTTAGTTTCTCCTCTAAGGCGGCCAGCCTCATGCTGGGTCCAAGTAACCAAGAGATTTCTGTTTAAAATGTTTTTACAAGCTAAGGCTGAAGAATTCAGATCTATCCCTTTAATATATTTGCTTAATTTGCTCCTGTAATGCTTCATTTCTCAAAGATAATCTTCCTTGAAAGAAGTTATGGAACATAATCGGCTTAATATATTTTGGTCTAATATATTAAAATGAGCTTTATGGTCTGAAATATTTGGCAAAAGAGCGAAAGCAGAGGAGATCTCATAGGAGGCGAACACATTTTCACAGCACTGTAGTTCAAATTACACAGCTCTTAAAAAAAGACTATTAGGCACCAGAAATGTCTGCAGTAAAAATGGTTACAACCAAACTGGGACAAAACAGATTTGATTATTTTGGCACCCCAGTGTGATGAAAATGCTGGCATCAGGAAAATCTAATATCCTGAGATCACAGACTGATCACACTCAAAACAAAACAGCAAAACAAATGATGCAACTACCAAGCACCTTCATATCCAACAATAGCTTTTTATGCTTTACAGGGATCCTATACTAATTATAACAACACACTTTATTGAAAAATATTTATTTGATAACGCTTTCTTTTATGGTACATCAATAACCATGTAATAACATGGTAATAACATAGAAAGTTACACTATAGTACTTGGCAACAAGAAAAACAAGTGATTACCCCAAGATTAAGGTATATCATTTTAAAATAACCTGCATGCAATTATGACAATTGTGACTATGTAACAATGGAAACTTTTGGTGGATGTTTACCATTAGGTTACCACATAAGAGTTTCTTTTATTGGCCACCATCTTTTATTGCTGTCTGCGAAATGACCAGTGTTGGGCAAGCTACTTGTCCAGTGTAGTGAGCTAAGCTATCAGTTACTCAACAATAAATTAAGCTTCACTACACAAAAGCTACCACCTAAAGAATTATAGCAAGCTAAGTTACACTAATGTTTTAACAGTAGCTTAACTACATCAGAAGCTACTTAATGTTGTACCAAGCTAATATCAATTCAAAATGAGTCTGATACACTGGTTAAACATTTATTAAAGATCAGCCAATGACATAACACAGTGTAAAAATTGTTTTATGATCAGCATAATAAAAAAAACTAAAGTATTTACTAGTAGACAAAAAAATAAACAATCTGCTGTAATTAGAACCAAATGAAAGGTACTGTGTAGTGTTCTACACATCGAGACATGGCTATGAGTTAACATTCAATGGACATCTCTAGGGAAAACAAAACCCTACAAAAGGCATCTTATTTCTTTAGGGTCTCCCTTAGAGAAAACTTCTTCAGACCTCAATTAAACAGTCGATTCAAGTAACAAATGAAACTGTTTACCAAAAAACGAAAAAATAAAGAAGCTAATTAAGATATATATATATACATTTATGTCTCACTGTATAACTTAATTTCTACCTACATATTTATATGTTAGTTCCACTGCAATGCGCATGCGCATGTTTTGTAGATACAGACAGGAGAGGCAGAATATAGGCTCATACATGAATGCCCAAAAAATAACTCCAATTGTTGTTTCAAAAATAGAAAACCTGCTTTCATTACTTAGTTTTGCCCTGGATTTTGTAGCGTTTGTGGACGCTACGTCGCTACTTGATAAAAATAATAACATCACTACAGGAAAGTTACTTGATAAATAAAGCAGCGACGCTACGGTCAGGCTACTGGAAAATGTAGTTAAACTAATAGCTTCGCTACATGTAGCAGTGCTACTGCCCATCACTGGAAATTAATATGAGCTACCTGGTAATAATGGTTTGAAATCTAGGAAGGCTGACTTGACCTTCTCTCCTAAAATTTTAAGCAAAGCACTTAACAAAATTCTCCATAAAGTTTTTCTTGTTACGGAGTAATATAGTGTAACTTGCTATCAGGGGAGGATCTAGGATTCTCCAAGGTCAGCGGCTTAGCCATGAGGGTGAAGATGAGAGTATAGACGTTATCGTAAATCCCGTTCTAATGTAAAATATGACTACTGGATTACTGGATATGATATGAAATATGATTACTGGATTAATTAAATTTCTTGTATACTACATGCTATCACACATAAAAATTCCCCCTCCATAACATGGGGAAAAATTAATTCACCTGCAAGTCTGGTGTTTATTCCTCTCTTCATCAACAACTAACTGTGTGGATTTGGTGACGTTTGATCATTATTTGCCAAAGTTATGACCTGATATTTCCCGTTCCCCCATAACATGGGAAAAAATAAACAAATCCTGTGAATTTTGAAACTGTGTTTTTTCTATATTATGTTTGAAACATTTATTATTTTATATTTTTAAATCCAAATCAAATAGACCACAGATACCGAGCCATACCCCTCCCTCTCTCTCTATCACTCTACCCACCTTACTCTCCTCCCTTTCTCTTTCTCTTCCTCCTCCCTGAGCTCTGACTCTACCCCTTTCTTCTTAAACAAAGAGCAGCAGGCTTCAGATAAAATTGAGATAATTTTTCCAACTTTACGAAAATATACTGTGTGGTAAATAACTTTTGAACATAGAGCTGCATTGTGTGAACTTAAATTGCTATAACAAACAAAGATTTTTAATTTTAGTTGAATT